TTGAATCATTTGACAAGCGTCGTCAATTACCTCCGCGACGAGAACCAACGACTTTGCCAGGCGCAGGAGAGGCGTTCAAAGCAGCCGGGCGACGATGCACTAAGCGAGGCGGGTGAGCAGCAACCATCGCCAGTAGAGCTAGCATGACTAGCAGCAACAGCCCCGCGCTCGACAAGTGTCGGCATGAGATATCAGCAACCCGCTCTTTTTGACCCAGTTAATAAAGGCGTGACGGTGCAGCAGTGGATATTCGCAATGAATATCTATTTTAATGGGGCGGGCATCCGAGATGATCAGAAGCGGATCAGCCACGCGTTAACACTGTTGCAAGGGGCCACCCTACAGTGGTGGAATGTCATCGTCGACTCAGCAGCAACTCGCACAGAAGGACAGCACGAGTGGTCGGAAGAATTCGGCGACGAAAACGAGGCAGATTTGTTGTTCGGTGCGACCCACATTCGCACGTGGGCAACTTGGTGCGCAGAGCTTTGCAAGCGGTTTGAGCATGCTTCTGACTCAGACAAAGCGCGCGAGACTCTACGCATGTGGAAGCAGCTGGGATCTGTGTCTGAGTACACCGTGTCATTCTTGACGTTGGTGGACAGATGTGGCTACATGCACGAGTTGGAGAAGGTCGAGAGGTACATGGGCGGGCTGAAGCCTGAAATACAGTACCAGATAAAACTGCAACACCTTGCGAAGCGGTTACAAGACTTCATCCAGCTCGCCAAAGCCGCTGATTCGCTCACGAAGCCGAGGACGAACTTCTACGACGGAGGTCGCCCTCGAGAACAGTACCCTCATGCCACGATAAAAGGGGTGGATGCAGTGGATATTTACGCAGTTGCTCCACGAAATACGAGGCTATGCTACCACTGTGGCCGGCCGAGTCACATCCGACGCAATTGCCAAGAATTCATATCCCTCCAGGATTCTATGGGGAATAAGCTGGAGGAGCGACCAAGAAATGGGTCGCGTCAGTAAGTACCGAGCCCCTTACTGAAGGGCAAGCTTCTTCGCCCGAGCCACACAGTCCCCACCAGGTCTTGATCCCGATTGCTGCAATCGACCGGACCCGGACGAATAAGGGGGATGAAACTGCTGATCACCCTGTAATGGTGGAGGGGAAATTCAACGGAATGTTATTGAAGATTTTCGTTGATGGGGGCGTGAGTCATAGTCTTAAATAGCTGGACAAGGCTAAGAAATTGGGTATAACCTTATTAAAGTGTCTACCCGAAATCGACGCCCGACTAGTGGGCGGAACACCGCTGGCAATACGGGAACGAGTGTAGAACGTTGGTTTTCATTGCGGGGGGCATGTAAATTTTTGGATGGGGCTGCTGGCGACTACTCTCGACGGGTGCGTCGTGCTGCTGGGACGTGATTGGTTGCGACGGTACAACCCGATGATCGACTGGGCGACAGGCGGCTGCAGCATAAAGTTCGATGGGATCTCCCACGAGCTACCAAAATGGACGGGGCCTCGCATGCAAAGCACCCAAGTCCACGCGATAACTTTCAAGCGCGCGATAAAAGCGGGAGTTGCAGCGTACGTCGTTGATCTTCGCGATGTGACGTCGACGACAATAGACGAAGATATCGCAAAGCTGTGCGAAGCCGTTCCTCCGGATTTAGCCGACATGATTCGGAAATACCACGAGATTTTCCCGGACGACCTTCCCGCCGGACTTCCGCCGAGCCTACCAGAGGACCACCGCATCAAGCTGGAACCAGGCGCCCAACCGACAGTACAGTGACAATTTCGGCTCAGCCAACCAAAACTGGAAGAATTGCAGTAGCAACTGGATTACCTTCTGACGAAGGGACCCCATACGCTGCCCCGATACTGTTCACACCGAAGAAGGATGGCGGATTCAGAATGTGCATCGACTACCGCGCTCTCAACAGGATCACCATCAAGTCGCGTTACTCGATCCCGTGAGCCGACGAACTACTCGACCAACCTCGCGGAGCCAAGTTCTTCTCGAAAATAGACTTGCGAGGGGGTTACCATCAGATTCGCGTCGCCGCAGAAAAATTGTCACAAGACGGCGTTTCGAACCCGCTACGGCATCTACGAATACCTGGTGATGCCTTTTGGCCTCACGAACGCGCCCTCGACCTTCCAGATGACCATGAACGACATTTTCAGGGAATACTTGAACAAATGCGTCATTATCTACCTCGACGACATTCTAATCTACAGCCGCAGCAGGGAGCAACACTTACAGGATCTTGATGCAGTCTTCACGTTGCTGCACAAGAATTGCCTCATCACGAAAGGGTCAAGTGCGACTTTCTTAAGCAGGAGTTGGAGTTTTTGGGCCACATCGTTTCTACCGAAGGAGTGAAAATCGACCCCAAGAAAATCAAGACCATACAGGAGTGGAAGCCGCCAAGCAACATCAAGGAGCTGCTAAGTTTTTTGGGTTTTGTCAACTACGTCCCTCGGTTTATCCCAAATATGGCTGGGTTATCTGCCCCGCTAACTGACCGACTGAAGGATCACGGTTGTTTTTTGTGGGGAGAGAAGCAGCAAGCTGCATTCGACCAGCTGAAGATCGCCCTCACGTCGCCGCCCGTCCTTCGCATCTCCGATCCCGACCGTCCATACGAAGTCATCACCGACGCCAGCGACATCGCCATCGGTGCAGTTCTCCAACAGGATTTCGGCGATGGATTACAGCCGGATGCCTACGAATCACGGAAGCTGTAGGGCGCGGAAAAAAACTACACGATACACGACAAGGAAATACTGTCGATCGTCTACGCGTTCAAAATCTGGCGATGCTACCTGACAGGCACTGACGTCACTGTGCGGACCGACCACAAATCCCTCCAATACCTGCGAGCCCAACCAAATCTCAACCCGCGACAGATCCGATGGCTCGATTTCCTCGAGTCAAATTTCCACTACACCATCACCTGCAAACGGGGCGCCAACAATATTGCCGATGCTCTGACTTGACCCACTGCCCATACAACCACCATACTAGTCACCCAGACCAGCCCACTGTTTACCGGACTATTTACCCATGGCTACAAAATCGACCCCTTCTTCCGCTCTGCTATTTATCAACAGCATACCACCGCCACCGGACACTATTTTAATAAACGCGACACTTTCTGCATCTGGGTGCCGGGCTACGATTTACTTCGTACCCTTCTAATCCAGGAATCCCATGACAACCCTACCTCCGGGCATTTTGGGGTCGACAAAACTATGAAGACGTTGCAGCGCAATTATTATTGGCTGAACATGGCCGACGACGTGCGCAAGTACGTGTCCTCCTGCACCGTCTGCCAGATCATGAAATCATCCCATCAGCGAGCAGCTAGACTACTACAGCCGTTGGATCCGCCTGATCGACCCTAGCAACACATCACGATGGACTACGTGACAGGCCTGCCGGCCGGTCCCAGCGGAAACGACGCCATCCTCGTGGTCGTTGACCGACTCACGAAAATGGCGCACTTCATCGCCTGCCAACAAACAAGTACAGCTGAGCAAACTGCCCAACTGTTCATCACCAACGTCATCCAACTGCACGGACTGCCCACCGCCATTATTTCATAACGAGACCCGAAATTCACATCGAATTTCTGGCGCCACCTGTGGGACCAATTCGGCACCAAACTCCAGCTTTCCTCCGCCTACGACCCACAGACCGACGGGCAGACCGAACGAGTCAACCAAACTATGGAGCAACTCATTTGGACTACCTGCACTGACCCACAGACATGGGAGACATCCCTTCTGCTGCTGGAATTGGCGTACAATAACGCGCCCTCCGCCACAACCCATCAATCCCCATTTTTCCTCAATTATGGACAGGACCCAATGGTACCCTCTACCCCGAACATCGAGACACCCGTGCCCCGGTCCCAGAAATTTGCCGAAGACATCCTTGCCGCCCAGGAAAAAGCAGCTGAGGCCATCAGGAAAGCCAACCTGGTCGCAAGCCGACAAGCCGATCGTCATCGACGTGACGTCACTTACAAAGTGGGAGGTCTCGTACTTCTCGACACTCGCAATTTGCGTCTGCCGATCCCGAGCAAACTCCGCCCCAAATTCTGTGGGCCTTTTCAAGTAATCAATATGGTGACACCTGTCACTGCTCACCTCCGACTCCCGGCTGACTGGCGTCACCACCCGGCTTTCCACGTCAGCCTTCTACGGCCCTACGTCCCCAGTTCATCGGAGTTGGCCCGCCACTGCAGTGTACCGCAGCTGACGCCCCTGTAGGAACCGACGACCGAGCCCTTGAAAATTCTCGGCCATCGAGTCACGACACAATTGAACTGTCGGATGGTGGATTTCCTCGTCAGATGGCGCGATCGCACGTCCGAAGATGACTGTTGGGTGCCTCTCGCTGAGCTAGAATCACACCCAATTCTAACAGCGTATTATCAGCGTCGGAATGTTACCGATGCCCGCGGTCTCGTTTAGGACGGGGGGGGGGGGGGTAGTGTAAGGAATTTCCATTCCCTACTGAGTCGTACGCTAGCGCGTACACCCGAACTCCTCGACTCGTCACGTTCGGCCTCGTTTATCGACCCAACCCTTTCCTGAGTCGCGTCCGGCACTGTCGCCACATTGCCTAACCTACCCACGTTCCGAGGTTATCGCCCTAGAACACCAACCCCTATATAACCTCGTGCCTTCATTGCAATAGCGACCTTGTATTCTCACGTTATAGTTCATTGACATTTCCTATATCATAACACATTCCCACTCATAACAAGGGCTGTCTTCCTCGGTTACCACTGAGCTGCCCAAGTGGCTTGTCCTCGTTTTTGGGAGCTGTTTTCTCGAGCTGATACCGCGAGATCAAATTCTTTATTCTTGCGATCGGGACAACGCGTCGCAACTGGGTTGGATCCCGTGATTCCTGATTCCGTCGTGCCTACCGAACAACGCCTCAGTCTTGCCGCTCACGCTTCCCCCCACATTTAGCAGATCCTTAGCGATTGCAGCAGACAACCTTTCAGCAGCACAACGTAGCAAACGCGTCTGGTTAGTATGCTCACCTCGTTGGCGTCGTCTAAGCGTATTTTTAGCGTATGCTATGGACTTGACGGCTTCTGTTTTTGGAGCAACTAACCTTTAGAGCCAGGGACCCAAGTTTACCAACTGTAAAACACGTTGTACTGAGAGTAGACCCACCTAGGTGCACTCTTCACATCGAGCACTGCGTGCAGTGAGAACCATTCAATGCAAATGAATCGTACGGTGGAAGCCGGTCACGATGAGATCTGGCCACGTGCCATCTGCAAGACATGCAAGAAGCTTCGTCGAATCCCTCCTGAGGAATTCTTAAAACTCGCAGACACGGGTAAAGAACCCGACTGGTCCTGCCACCTGGCAGAGCCCTATAGGCCGGGAGCCAGGTGCCTGGATCCGGAGGAAAAGAAGACGGAGGCGGAAAAGGCTAAGCCGTTCGAACCCGACGGATTCTGGTGGATGTCGAAATTTCGAGGGGATATTTACTACATAACCCCCGAAAAGAAGAAACTGTATTCTCCTAGCCAGCTAAAAGCATACTTAGAGGAGTACAACCGGAATCGTCGGAATCCTCTCACTCCGGAGGACTTCTGCATCAGTAAGCCTAAGTGGAGGGAGGTGCACGGATGCGCGGATGGGGGAGTGAAACGTCCTGGTGCGGCAGGTGTCAGATTCATGTCCGCTGGGGGAAAAGCGGCGTCTGCTGTCGCTCCCGCTTCTGCTGCTACTGCTGCTGCTGCTCGGGCGATTAGTCCTGTTGGTGCTGCTGGTGCTCGGTCGATTAGTCCTGCTGCTGTTGCTGGTGGCGGCAGCGGTGGGTTGTCCTCCAAGCACGAGCTTGTGAGGATCGGCGCATCCTCGGTGGCGGCCAACGCTGTGCCGCTGGGTCGCTCAGGCTCGTACAAGGCCGTACCTCTGGCGATCCCTGCAGGCAGCAAGGGGGGTGTGGGCGCAGTAGGGGGGGAGAGGGGCAAGGAAGGGGGGGAGAGGAGCAAAGGAGGAGGGGAAAGAGGCAAAGAAGGGGGAGCAGGAGCGGGGGTTGCAAAAGGAGGAGGAGGCGGCGCTGGAATTGCAGGCACAGCAGGTGCTGGGGCTGGAGTGAGGAAAGAAGGGGGACTGGACCTGACAGGCAGAGGAAGTGAGAAGAAGGGAGAGGGGGTCAGGATGGGCGCTGGAGGAAGGGGGGGGGTAGCTGAAGGTTTAGAAAGAAGCTGTGAGCGGGTGGGCAATGAAAGAGTGGGTGGTGAGAGGGTTGGTGCTGGTGGTGGTGGTGGTGCTGCTGCTGCTGCAAGTGGTAGTAGTCATCATAGTGTTTCTGGTAACCGCAGTGCATCCGGTAACAGTAACCCTGTTGTTGACGACGGCGACGATGATGCAGCAGTGCGTGTCCCTGATGCGGTTACTGATTTCCGGCTAGAAACCTACACCGAGGAGTCTTTTCCTCTCTACAGGCTGCCTTTTTATAAGTCGGGGAAGCTTGCACTGCTCAAGGAGAAGGTATATTTGCGTGGGAAGGATGCGAATGGCGGGGCGACTGTGTTTGTGGATGTAATGGCTTGGCGAGTAGTGGTGAAGGTGGATGTGGTGAAGGTGCAGCTGCAGGCTCGGCAAGGCAAGAAATGGATTGAAGTGCAGAAGCCGAGCCTGGGTTACACGTCTGGGAAGTTAGGTTCGGAGTTTGGCTGGGCACAGTGCTGCATGCGGTTCCATCCTAATTGGTCAGAAGGTGAGGTGAAGCAGTTTTTGCGGTCACATAATGTTGATGTGGAGCGTCTTGTAAGGAGGGTGGATTTGCTCGAAGATTTTATTCAGGGTGATTTGGATTTTAAGCGATCTAGTCTGTGGAGGTTTCTTGAGAGGGAGAGGCGGGGGGGGGTTGAGCTAGAGCGAGGAGTGGTGAGAGAGAGGGAGAGAGAGAAAGAGAGGACGAAGGGCGGTGAGGCAGAGAAACGGTGGAGGGACAAGGAGAGAGAAATAGGGAGGGGGAGGGAGGAGGAAGATATTAGAAGAGAGGGAGGAAGTGAGCGAGGTAGAGACAGGGCTCAGGTGCGTGATAAGATTCTCGAGGAACTGGGGTATCCAGTCAGGAGGACAGGATTGGGAAAGACAGGCACGTTGAGAAAAAAGGTCCGAGTGGCTAGATTTGAAGAGCTCGAGGAGGAAGAGGAGGAGGAGTTGGACCGGAAGTTCATTGTTTCGGATGACGAGGATGGGATGGATATGGGTGGAAGAGGAGGAGGAAGGGGAGGAGGAAGGGGAGGAGGAGGGACAGGAGGAGAGGGGAGGGACAAACTGTGGGGGGAAGGAGCAGAGGAAGCGGATGACGAGGGCTTGTACGAGGCGGAGGAGGGGGAGGAGGAGGAGGATGCACAAGTAGCAGGGTGGGACAGCGTGTGCTACATCTGCGACGACGGCGGCGACCTGGTGTGCTGCGACGGGCCGTGCATGCGGTCGTTCCACGTGGAGCCGGACGACGAGGAGGAGAAGAAAAGGGACAAGTTTCACTGCCCCACCATCGGGCTCACGGATGGCGAGGTGCATGAGAAGGAGACCTGGCTGTGCCCGAATTGTGAGGCCAAGCAGCACGTGTGCTTCATCTGCCACCAGCTGGGCTCCTCGGAGCCAAATTCGGAGCCGAATCCGGATCCAGACTCTACAGCAGCAGGTGGGAGCGAGGGGAAGCAGCAGGAGGTGTTCATGTGTGACGTGGCGCTCTGTGGGCACTTCTACCACCCGACATGTGTCGCGTCGTGGCTGGCCGATGCAAAGAAGCTGCCCCCAGGCAGCGAGGAGCGAATCCAGGAGCTGGAAACCGTCGCTGAGGGCATCCGGGCAGGCTCGGGAATGTTCTTCTGCCCGCTGCACAAGTGTGCCAAGTGCCACACGGAGGAAAAGGACCGAGATGCGTTAAAACTCGTGCCGTGCCGCCGCTGCCCGAAATCCTACCACGTGAAATGCCTCCCGCCAGATTTGAGCCAAGATGGGAGTGACCCTAGCAACCCGCAGAGGGTCTGGGGTGTAGGGGATGGTTTTGCCGAGAGCCTCATGTACTGCACCCGGCATTCCCTGGACCCTTTTCTTGGCACCGCTGCCCGCGGGCACCATAAATTTCCGGATGTGAGGAGGACGAGGGGAGTGAGAAAGACGGGGTGGTTTGCAGATTTGGAGGAGGGGGAGGAGGAAGAGGGGAGGGTTGGTAGGAGGGTGAAGAAGAGGAGAATGATTGTGGATGAAGAGGGGGAGGAAGAGGAGGAGGGGGAGGAGGAAGAAGGGATGGAGGTAGAAGGATTGGGGATTGGAAGCAAAGCTGGTTTGAGTGAGCAGGCAGTGGCCGGTGCAGCAGCATCTGCCAGAGCAGCAGCAGCGGCAGCTGCTGCTGCAGGAGCGGCAGACCTGTTAGAGCCACATAGGGCGATGGGCTCAGCGGAGAAGGCAGGAACAGCAGCAGCAACAGCAGCAGCAGGAGGAGGAGCAGCAGGAGCAGCAGCAGCAGGAGGAGCAGGAAGAGAAGTAGCGGGCGCGAAGGGGAGGGGGAGGAAGAGGGCTTTAATGGAGAGGGAGAGGGAGGAGAGGGATGCGGCGCTGAGGGCGATGGAGAGCATCGGAGGGATCCAGAGCAGGAAGGGCGGGGTCACGCACAAGGAGATGGCCCAGACGTGGACCAAAGGTACGTGGCTTGCTCGGGAATGGGGCGGGGATCGAGGGAGGAAGAGAGAGGGCGAGAGGGAGGGGGAGAGGGAGGGGGAGGGGAAGAGGGAGGGAGGGGGGGAGTGGGGGAGGGAGATGGAAGAGAGGGATGCGGCGCTGAGGGCGATGGAGAGCATTGGAGGGATTCAGAGCAGAAAGGGCGGGGTCAGCCACAAGGAGATGGCCCAGACCTGGACTCCAGGTTAAATGCCTGGGAGGAAGAAAGCGATTTATGGGAGAGTGGCACTTGTTGTCATGAGGCACCCGGATTTTTTCTAGCACATATGCCAAATTTCACTTAATTGCTTGTGTGCTCACAGGGAAGGAAGGCCCTGTGCTACACAACAATTGCTACATGTTCCAATGCCCCTGCTACCGGGATGTGGCCACTTTGCGCCTCAAAATTGCGAGTCATGTATTCTTGATTATATTAACACTATCCCAAGCACCACCCCACACTATTCGAGACTCTACCCCGCACACCATTCCCTCCCCCCTCCGCCCCGCCTTTTTTCCCCCTCCTTCCTTCCCAAAACATTTACCATCCACTCATTGCAGGGAAAGCCCCGCGGCACATGTTCCAGTACCCCTGCGACCTCGACGCTTCACGGTCTCGCCTGAGCAGCATATTCGCCAGTGCAGCCAAGGAGGTCACAGAGCAGACAGTCAAGGCCGCCCTTGCCGTCCCCCTCATGTACCAGCACAGCCACAACATGACCTCCAACGGTGACACGGGCGGCGGTACGGGCGGCAACAACAACAACCAGGGCGGCAACCCCCGGAAGATCCCGCTGAGCAAGCTCGAGTCGATCCTGCACGCAGGGGAGAAGGCGCGGAATTTCTTGGCTAAGGAGGTGGAGCAAGCAGGCGTTGTGTCTGAGGAGGCTCAACAGCAGGCGCAGCGGCTCTGCCCCCCCCTACAGCTGCAGCAGCTGGGGGCAATCGGCGAGGCTCTGCGGGTATACCTCTCGCCGTATGTTCACGGGCAGCGGTACACCTCGTACGGGCGGCATTTCACGCTGCCCGAGAAACTAAACGAGGTGGTGGAGAGGCTGGCGCCTTATATGGAGGATGGGGATGTGCTGGTGGATTTCTGCTGCGGGGCGAACCATTTCTCACTGATTGCGAGGCATCGGCTGGAGGAGGCTCGGAAGCGGTGTGGGTTTGCCAACTTTGACATCATGCGGCCGCCGAACGAGTTCTGCTTCTCCAAGCGAGACTGGTTCTCCGTGCCGGTATGTCACATGTAGTGGGGTATGTGCTAATGGGGATGCATGGCAAAATACTTGATGGATGGCATGGTGGGGGACGGGGCGAACATGTTCTCGCTGATTGTGAAGCCAACATTGAAATCATGCGGCCGCCCAATGATTTCTGCCTCTCGAAAGGAGACTGGTTCTCGGTGCTGGTGGGTGTTGATTTGATGGGTTGGGTGCCGGTGGGTGTTGATTTGATGGGTTGGGTGCCGGTGGGTGTTGATGGGTTGGGTGCCGGTGGGTGTTGATGGGTTGGGTGCCGGTGGTTGTTGATGGGTAGGGTGCCGGTGGGTGTTGATGGGTTGGGTGCCGGTGGTTGTTGATGGGTTGGGTGCCGGTGGTTGTTGATGGGTTGGGTGCCGGTGGGTGGTGATGGGTTGGGTGTTAGAAACTGTAAAGAGAAGAATTGATTATAGAGGGAGGTGGTACAGGGTTATATACCTAAGGAGCCAATCCTAGGTCAAGAGGTGCTTGATCAACTCAACCATTATTGGTTGGACTAATGATGGTTGGAAAGTTTGGACCACCAATAATTGAGGAGCCAATAATGTTGGTTGAAGACCAACAAGATTGAACACCTCGATAATTGGGGTCAAGGGTTGGTTGAATTTCCATCCCCAACATGTATCTACACCCCTAAATAGCCCAACTTGGTTATAGATACCCAAGTATAAGAAACTATGTAGGATAAAGAGAATGATATATACTAACACAACCCCTTACCCTGCATAGTGAGAGAATACTTGGGTCGGAGAAGAGACAACCCCTGAATCAGGTAGGGAAGAAGGAGGAGCGAGGAGCAAGGCCTAGGAGGTTGAGGAGGAGGGAGTGAGGAATGCGAGGGAGAGCTTTGGTGAAGATGTCGGCAAGATTGGCAGAGGAGTTCGCGAATGAAGTAGTGGCGGGGCTCGATGTGCTTGGAGCGGCCATGGAAAACTGCTTCTTTGGTGAGGTGTATCGTGCTAGCATTGTCGCACCAGATGGTGGGGCAGGGCTGAGGGGCACCAAGTTCCTTGAGAAGGTAGCCGAGCCAGCGAGCTTCCTGTGCAGCCATGGTAACGGCATAGAGTTCGTCTTCACAGGAGGAGAGGGCAACGGAGGAGGAGCGGGTAGAGCGCCAGCTGATGAGGCCACTCCCCAGGGTGAAGCCATACCCCTGAGAGCTGCGACGATCGGGTTGGGAGTCAGTCAGCCCATGAGGAGTCGGTGAAGCCGGTGAGGGTGGGTGGGGTGCGACCGCCAAGCGTAAGGACATAGTCCTTGGTTCCTCGAAGGTAACGAAGGACACGCTTGGCTGCCTTCCAGTGTGCCTCAGAGTGCTTGCCGGAGCTGACGAATCGAGCAAGGACACTGATGGGGTAGGCCAGGTCGGGGCGAGTGCAGACCATGGCGTATATCAGGGACCCCACGAGCTAAGCGTAGGGGTCGCCAGAGGAGGCTGGGGTGGCGGGGGGTTCGAGCTGGTGGTTGACATCAAGAGGAGTGGAGACAGGCTTGGCATGCGACATCTCGAAGCGCTCGAGCACTTTCTCGATGTAGTAGGACTGGGAGAGCGAGATCGTGCGTGCTTTCTTGTCGCGAGTGATCTACATGCCAAGGTAGTTGCGAACCTCTCCCAGGTCCTTGCAGGCAAGACGTGACTGCAGTTCGTCTTTGACTTGTTGCAGGTCTGCGTCGCTGGAGGCGGCCAATAGCATATCGTCAACATAGACGAGGATGTAGAAGGGTGAGGGGGAGGTGCGAAGGAAGAGGCAGGAGGCAGCCTGGGAGGGGCGAAAGCCCAGGTCGCGAAGGGCGGAAGAAAGCTTGGCATACCACTCTCGGGGTGCCTACTTCAGGCCGTAGACGGGCCGCTTGAGTTCCCACACAATGGAGGGATCGAAGAGGAGATGGAAGCCGCTGGGGCGCTCGAGGAAGATCTGCTCGTGGAGTTCGCCTTGAAGGAAAGCGGTGGTGACATCCATAGAGTGTAGGATCATGCCGAGTCGCCCGACAGATTCCAGGAATACTCGGACGACCGGGGGAGTAGCAGTGGGTGAGTAGGTGTCGAAGAAGTCCTGGTTGTGACGCTGAGTGAAGCCTTTGGCGCTGTAGCGTGCTTTGTAGACAGGGGCCATGGGGGACGGCGGTGGGTGTTGATGGGTTGGGTGCCGGTGGGTGTGGATGGGCTGGGTGCCGGCAGGTGGTGATGGGTTGGATGCCGGTGGGTGTTGATGGGTTGGGTGCCGGTGGGTGTCGATGGGTTGGGTGCCGGTGGGTGTGGATGGGCTGGGTGCCGGTGGGTGTGGATGGGCTGGGTGCCGGTGGGTGTGGATGGGCTGGGTGCCGGGGGGTGTGGATGGGCTGGGTGCTGGTGGGGTGTCTTCTGGGGCGTGTGCTTGTTTTGGTTTGCTCACTTCGACATCATGCGTCGCGCCCACCAAACGAGCTCTGCTTTTTAGATGAGATCGGTTTTCCGTGTTGGTGGGTGCTGATGGGGATGTGTGGCGGCGTAAGGATGCATCGTTTGGGGGGATGCATAGTTTGCGTGGCATATTGGATAGAGTGCATAATACCTACTGGCAGGTTTCTCCAAGTGCGACTGGTTGGCCATGCCTGTAGGTGTGGTTGAACGTGTTCTGGTGGTGGTGCATGTGCTGGTGGTGGTGCATGTGCTGGTGGTGGTGCATGTGCTGGTGGTGGTGCATGTGCTGGTGGTGGTGCATGTGCTGGTGGTGGTGCATGTGCTGGCAGAGATGGATTGTACGGTGAGGATGCACGACTAGATTGGATGGATGTATGCTTCTGTCTTCCCAAGCACGACTGATTTTCCCCGGTGCCAGCCTGTCATGTGATTAAGTGTTCGATGTATTATTTCTCGGGTATACATCGAAGTTCGATGATCGAACCTTCAAGCGCGACGGATTATTTCTTGGGTCTCAGCCTTCTTTCTAAAACACTGACGAGAGCCTTCAAGTGAGGCCAGCGTTCTGTTTGTGCCGCTAGATGCTGATTGGCAAGCATGGCATGGTGGGGATGCTGAGTGGCAAGCGTGGCATGGTGGGGATGTTGATTGGCAAGCATGGCTTGAATGGTGTGTCGTTAGACTGCATGGATCAATGGCCTGATTGGATGGGCGCATGTTGTTGGCGGGGCTCAGCTGACGGCACCTTCACAGGAGCCCCTCTGCTTACCTACTTGAATTGGCAGCTTTCTCCAAGCGTGACTGGTTGTCCGTGCGGGGATGTGCCGTTGGGGTATGTGCTAGTGGGGTGTGGGCTGAAGGGGATGCGTGGCATGATAGTGCATGTGGTAGCAGCGGTGCAACACAATGATGTAAAACGGATTTGGAGCTCACTTGTGTAGGCGCCTCAAAAACTCGACTCAATGCATGGGGAGGCACAGCATGGTATTTTGCTAATGGTGGCAGCGACACTGCTATCGTATTCCGCTTTCGACTCACGATTCTTAGCTACTCCATGTTTTGGCGCGGCAACTGTACGAGTAACGAGTTTGTGACCTAAAACGGGTCTCTGCTTCTTCAGCGCCTACAAGAGTTAAATTGTAGCTTCAAGTTTGCCCTCGTGCAACACCCTACTCTGTCTTGCTAACGGGCGCCCTACTCTGTCTTGCTAACGGGCGCCCTACTCTGTCTTGCTAACGGGCGCCCTACTCTGTCTTGCTAACGGGCGCCCTACTCTGTCTTGCTAACGGGCGCCCTACTCTGTCTTGCTAACGGGCGCCCTACTCTGTCTTGCTAACGGGCGCCCTACTCTGTCTTGCTAACGGGCGCCCTACTCTGTCTTGCTAACGGGCGCCCTACTCTGTCTTGCTAACGGGCGCCCTACTCTGTCTTGCTAACGGGCGCCCTACTCTGTCTTGCTAACGGGCGCCCTACTCTGTCTTGCTAACGGGCGCCCTACTCTGTCTTGCTAACGGGCGCCCTACTCTGTCTTGCTAACGGGCGCCCTACTCTGTCTTGCTAACGGGCGCCCTACTCTGTCTTGCTAACGGGGCCATCGGTTTAGCAGCAGGAAGGATCTTCATGCCAGCAAGTGTCTAGTCTCATCTCAGACTTGGCACCTGTTGAGGAGATCAAAACGGCTTGTCGCTCCTCTCCCCTCTGCTGTTACTCCGTCCACTTGACCCACATCAGTCGCAACCTCAGAGATACTCCTCTGTCTTCCTCTCCTCACCTTCGCAGTCGAGAGCTACTTGTATTGTCGTCGGTCCGAGCTAGTTCTGACGTGTCAAAGTTTGTTGTGACGCAGCGGAGCTGTTTGTGGTGCAGCAGAGCTGGTTGTGGCGCAGCAGAGCAAGCTGTGACGGAGCGTCGAAACTAGTTGTGATGCAGCAAAGCTATCTGTGTCGCAGAGCTACAAGAGACACAAGGACAACATTCCCTTTCCCGCACTTGGTCATCCTTCTATCGGTTGCGCATCCTCAACTTCTTCCCATATCTTCCCTTGCCTCCTCTGTCATGCCAACACACAGAGAAACCAGCTCCCGGACAGCAATCAGCTTATCATGGGCCTCAACCCGCCCTTCGGCGTGCGAGCTGCGCTTGCTTCGTCGTTTGCAAGGCGTAGCGCCGCCGTCTTTCAACCGAAGCTCATCATACTCATTGTGCCTCAAGAAACACGAAGTCTGGAGCCGCTGGGGTACACGTTGCTGTGGAAGGACGAGAGATTGTTCGAGCATCGCGCGTTCTACCTGCCGGGGTCGCATGATAGGGACAACAGGACGATGAATCAATGGAATAAGAACGCCCCGCCCTTGTTCCTCTGGTGCCGCAACGACCTCGTCAAGCGGTAATTCGTGTAAACTCTGATCTGAGGGTTTAGGAGTGGCAAAATTGGCTCAAAGAGTTGTTACCTAGTAAGTTATTTTTTCCAGTTTAAAAAAATGGAGGGAGAGGGTTGTCGAAGGTCGCCCTTGCACACAGATATTGGGGAATGCTTTTCCGAGCAGGGGATGGCAGTGTGGCAACATAACGCGATAAGTGCGAGAGAACATTGACAGGGTACAACTCCTCACTCCCACTCCCGCTCTCCCCCACCTTCAGCTATCGCTCCGTGCTTGACAGCTTGGGCCACACAAGGTGCCTCTTCCCTACCCTGGTACTGTTTTGTGCATCTTTAACAACAAGCCTTCCCCCCCTCCCCCCGGCCCCCCTCCTACCCCACCTCCCCCCCCAACCTTTCAGCTACCGCCCTTTGGCTAACATGCTGGGACACACAAGGGGCGTCTTCCCTGCTCCCCGCCCCATGCCCCCCTCGTTGCTTTCGGAGCTCAACCTCGCCACCTCCATCTCCACCACAGGTGGGCCTTCTCTTTGTTCATTTCCTTCCATTTTTGTGGTATGGATCGGGCTCTGCTACTCAACTTTTCTATGCCCGCTTAGTCTTGACCCTTGTCCAATCTTGCTTCGGTCGGGATGAACCTCCCACCGCTCGTGGCAGTGCGTGTGCTGGTTTTGAGCCGACTTAAATCTAGACTTGGGCACAAGCCGAACCACATCCGGCTCGGCTTGGCTCGGCTCGCCGTTTTGGGGTGTCGAGCCTTTTTTTTTTGTAACTTTCGAGGCAAGCCGAGCCGGCGTGTCGACTCGGCTCGTACACGACATACACGCCGAGCCTAGGGTGAGCCGGGTCGTCCTTGGCTCGATTGCAAGCCAGCCGGCTCGCGACTCGCGACCAGGGCTGTTGGTGGGGGTAAAGGTCCCAGATCGACAAAACGCTACTCCCATTTCTGGATCCCGCCAACACCACCTACTAATCCCTATATAGCTCACACAGCCTATCGTGAGCCTTATGCCCTATTCCGTTAAATGTAAGCCCTGTGACAGAGGAAGAAGGCTTCGCGCGTTAGGCTGAATCGACGCGCCAAGCCACATGTAGCGCATCAGAACGCAGTTTCTTTTGCCCAGCCACCGCCCAACAAGAATTCTCTCCCTATCTGCCAGTCGAGCCGAGTCGAGCCGGCTCGCTGTCGAGCCGGTGCCGGCTCGACCACAGAATGGTGAGCCGAGCGAGGCTGGATGGCGAGGCGCCTTGGCTCGACCCCTGCACGAGCCGAGCCGAGCCAGGCTCGGCTCATGCCCACGTCTACTTTTATTCCCCGTAATGCACAGCCTGGTCATCGGCTATTGTACAGCAGCATCCAGGAGCTGCACTCTCTTGTGATGCGCCGTCCTTGCCTTAAGATTCATGGCGGCGTCCACACGGAGGCCGCTCAACCGGTGGCGGTGCAAGTTGACGGCGTTCATGCTCTGACTTCATGCTCTGACTTCATGCTCTAACTTCATGCTCTGACTTCATGCTCTGACTTCTGTTGTAAAATATATATGTATACAACAAGCATGCCTAGATTAGGAGGTGTAGTCATTATATTTATTGGGGGGGTTGTTGGTTGGGTTGACTAACCTCACATTTGGGCTGGTCAAGATTGGATTTGGTCCTAGACATTTGGTTGGCACTATTCCAACCAAATGGTCCTTGGTCCCAAGACCCAACCAATCACCAAGCACCACACTTTGTGGTTGCTTACCTTCCAAGCAACCTCCCCCATTGGTCCACATTGTGGCCAATCGGAGAGCACCACACTTTGTGGTTGCTTGTCCTCCAAGCTACCTCTCCCATTGGTCTACATTACGGCCAATGGGAGACCTTCCCCTCCATCTCTTCCTTGCTCCTTGTTTGTACAAAAGAGCCTCTTGGCTCCATACTCATCTATCTTTTTCTCCTCAAAAGCTAGTTCCTTCAACTTCATGCTCTGACCTCATGCGCTGAATAAAAGCCCTCTCGTTGGTGGCACAGTTGCCGGGGATGAACAAGTAGTCCTAGGTAGGCTTGAGCAACGGGTCGGGTCGGGTCGGGTAACCCGACCCGAACCCGACTTTTTGACGGGTCGGGTCGACATTTGCGGAAGGTTGACCCGACCCTCGGGTACCCGACCCGACCCGACCCGACCCGACCGATAAAACCCGACCCGTCGGGTCGGCTTATTACCCGTCCCTGCCCCTATGCCAACCCGACCCGACCCGACCCGAAATCGGGTTAGGTAGAACCCGACCTATTAAACACGGGTCGGGTTGACATTTCCTGAACTCCGACCCGACTTGACCCGACCCGACCCGAACCCGACATCGGGTAGGGCAAAGTCGGGTCGGGTCGGGTCGGGTCGGGTTCATGCTCAAGCCTAGTCCTAGGTAGGGTTGAGCAAACTACCCGCCCGGGTCGGGTACCCGGTACCCGGACCCGCTTTTAGGGCGGGTCGGGTATCGGAAATCCTGAAAATTACCCGGCGGGTCGGGTCCGGGTTACCCGGGCCGGGTATCAATACCCGCTCCCCGAAATGCTACCCGACGTGTCGGGTAACGGGTACCCGATCCGGTCGGGTAAAATATACCCGAGGTCGGGTATTCCACCTAGACATGGGCGTAAGTCGCGCTGTGTTTTAGGTTTTGCGGCAAAACGGTTTTGGAGGTGAGGGGGGACGAGTGGAGCATTTGTGAGGAGAAGTTGGAGCTTGTAGATGGGGAGGAGTTAAGTGCGGTGAAAGGGAGGGAGTTGGGTGGGAGTTGGAGAAGAGGTTGGAGTTTGTAGATGGGTAGGAGTTCAGTGCGGTGAAAGGGAGGGAGTTTTGTTGGAAATGTTGGAGTTTATAGACAGAGAGGAGTTCAGTGCGGTGAAAGGGAGGGAGTTTGGTTGGAAATTGGAGTTTGTAGACGGGGAGGAGTTCAGTGCGGTGAAAGGGAGGGAGTTGGGTGGGAGTTGGAGAAGAGGTTGGAGTTTGTAGACAAAGAGGAGTTCAGTGCGGTGAAAGGGAGGGAGTTTTGTTGGAAATGTTGGAGTTTATAGACAGAGAGGAGTTCAGTGCGGTGAAAGGGAGGGAGTTTGGTTGGAAATTGGAGTTTGTAGACGGGGAGGAGTTCAGTGCGGTGAAAGGGAGGGAGTTGGGTGGGAGTTGGAGAAGAGGTTGGAGTTTGTAGACAAAGAGGAGTTCAGTGCGGTGAAAGGGAGGGAGTTTTGTTGGAAATGTTGGAGTTTATAGACAGAGAGGAGTTCAGTGCGGTGAAAGGGAGGGAGTTTGGTTGGAAATTGGAGTTTGTAGACGGGGAGGAGTTCAGTGCGGTGAAAGGGAGGGAGTTGGGTGGTCAAAATTCGACCCCCAGAAAACGCGACTCTCATTTGAGAGTCGCGTTTTCAGGAACCCTACCTAGCCTAGCCCAACTTTAGGATGTCTACAAGTAGGTGGCGGGTAGTATTACCCGCTTTTCAGGGTAACCGGGTCGGGTATACCCGGACCCGCCAGGCGGGTATTGTATTACCCGCCCCCTAAGGTCGGGTCCGGGTAAGGGTCCTGGGCTTATTACCCGACCCGGACCCGACCCGAAATTACCCGACCCGAGGTCGGGTATTGCAAAACCGGGTCGGGTCGGGTAATTACCCGGTTTTGCTCAAGCCTAGTCCTAGGTCCTCTCTCGCAACCGTGTCAAATCCCGTTGATCGCGCTAGTAGGTGAGGCGGCAGACACGGCGCAGCTTTGGCTCCTCTAGATACCTCGCGACCTCATCGTTCGGCGCGTGCCCCGCATCATCCGCCAATACCTCTCTTTGCACAAACAGGTGCTAAGCCACGTCGTACCCAACGTCACGTCATTGCTCCAAGGCAGCTCGGTAAGTGCCCAGTCGCTCGCGCACCATGCACACCATCGTCTCCTCAATTTACTCTCACCTGTTTCTTCGTTGGGTTGGGTACCTTGACTCTTTTGCCATTGCATTGATGGGGTTGAAAGGACAAAATAGTCATTCAAATCCAATAGTGCTTCCGAGTGACCATCCCCTAGATGGATACGGATGTGCTGGGCTGGGTGTGATCCCTGTAGCAATCTCAAGTGATGATTGACATTAGGATTTGGAGGGTATACATAGGTGAGGAATAGGAAGGGGGGTTTGGTTGGGAGGTGGCCAAGATAATTGACCACTTCAATAAATTGGTTGGCAAATTTATTGAGGGTCCAATAGTCCTGGCCACAAATAATCGAGAGGTTGATGTTGCGGACGGTGAGGTAGCGGGTCTGAACAAGCTCACAGACGCAGTGGTGGCGGAGCTCGATGTGCTTGGAGAGGCCAAAGAACACGGGCTCCTTGGTGCGGTGGATGGTGCTCGCGTTCACGGTGGATGGTGGGACAAGGCAGAGGAGCAAGTAGCTCGGCAAGGAGGAAGGTATGCTACCGCCCCTCTTGTACTGCCATGGTGACGGCATAGAGCTTTGCTTCGTAGGAAGAGCGAGCGACGGAAGAGGAGCGACGAAAGAGGAGCGAGTGAGACACTAGGCGGTGAGGCTGCCACTGAGAGAGAAGCCCTATCCTTGAGAGCCGCGACGGTCCTTTTGGGAGTCGGCTCAAGAAGAGTTGCTGTAGCCGATGAGCTGAGAGGGGATAGGGCTGCTAAGGGAAGGACATAGCTCTTGGCTTGCGGAAGATGCGCTTGGCCACCTGCCAGTGCTTTGGGGTGTGAAGGCCTGCGCCAACAAAGCGTACTTGGACAATAACGAGCGGACCTCCACTAGGTTTTTTTAGGCAAGGAAGATCTTCAGCACATCAAAGCAGGTCTTTGGTTTGACGTGTTGGAGTTATGTTTCGTTGTCAGCGGCGAGAAGCATATTGTTCACATAGATGATGATTTAGAAGAGGGAGGGGGAGGTGCGCAGGAAGAGGATGTGACAATCTGGGAGGAGCGGAAGTCAAGCTAAGGGTGCTGGAAAGCGTGGTGTGCCTTGCTCGAGGGGCCTGCTTGAGGTCGTAGACGGGGAGGCGGAGCTCTCAAATGGTGTTCGGAGGGAAGGGGAGGTGCCAGCCCTTAGGGCGCTCCACGAAGATGCGTTCATGGAGCTCGCCATGCAGGAATGCTGTGCAGACGTCCATGGAGTGGAGAAGCATGTCGCGATGGCCGATGAAATTAAGAGATTTGCGGTTGGCGAGTAGGTGTCGAAGAAGTCATGGCTGATGGCCCAAATTCGCCCTCGATGGGTCTCGAGCTGGCTCGGCCGTAGTGAGTGATTTTCCGTGCCGGGCCGGTTGTTGCGGGATGTTGCTGAACCCTACCCTAGTTCACCACATGAGTGTCAACATTCCCATCTAATGTTGCCAACTCGACCAAGGTTGGCTTGGTTGCTTTCTTCTTCCCTTATCAAAGAGTGGTCTGGCATGAGCATGGCTCCAACTCCCAAGCTGCAAGCTTGAAAGGGCGAGCCTCAGACAGGGGTAGACATGATCAAAACGCGATTGCGATTTAAATCGCATCGCATGCAGGTGCGATGTTTAAAAAAGCGATGCGATTTTAAATCGCATCGCGCGATTTATTTTTCCAAAAAAAAAAAATCGCAAATCGCATTTTACCCGCGATGTATTAAAAAATCGCATGCGATATTTAATTAAATCGCACAATGCGATTTTAAATCGCATCGCGTTTAAAACAGAATTAAAAAACACCCCAAAAACACAGAAAAAAAACATGGCTGCGGGGAAATTGACTCACGGGCAGTCGTAAGCTAGAATGCAAATAACCAGTGTGGTTTCGTAGTGGGTTTCAGAGTGGGTTTCAGTGCAATATCGCGCGCGATTTTTTTAAAATCGCATATCGCATTTAAATCGCGTTTTTTAGCGCGATTAAAATGCGATTTAAATTAAATCGCGCGATATTAAATCATCGCATCGCGCGATGATTAAAAAAAAAAAAAAAACATCGCCATCGCAAAAACGCGATTAAATGCGATGCGATGCGATTTTTTTTGCCCATGTCTAGACAGGGGGTCAGGAAAGTAGCAGCCACCAACTCTTCGTTGCTTTTGAGAATTCTCAAAAAGTAGCAGCCACCAGCTCTTCGTTGCTACTGTAGTATTACTTCTTCAATACTGGCCGCGTTCTCTCGATGACCTCACGTAGGATAGGGTTGTGGGGGAGGGGGCGCCAACTCATGGTAAGCGATCTCGAGCACGTCCATCAATTCATTGAATTGAAGAATTACTGCGCTGAAGGGAACACCGTACAGGATAGGATAGAAATGTCGTCACCCAACAAGTGCTGGGTTTTGTTTGGTTGTATGGCATCTTCGTCTGTCACCTGCAACAGTGCTAAGCGCATAGTGGTCACCGCCGCAGGCAGAGGTTGTGCGCGATCATTGTATTCGTCGCTGTCCTGCACCAACGGTGCCACGTCGCAGGCAAACACTGGTTGCTTAATAATAACTCGTTGGCTGAGCAAGTGGCCGAGTACACCACGACGACGGCGATCTCGCGCATTCGCTGTACTCCTTCTAGACTACAAGTCCAGAATGTGCGCAGGACACCTGTGAGAATGAGCAAAGGAGTAGTGGAGTTGCATGGGGTAAGTAGGTTTTGCAGGGCAAGTGCATATAACTCGTTAAAAGGTGAGCCAAAGGTGACTTTGGTTTGGCTCATTGGAGACGTTCACCTTTTCACCTTTTCACCTTTTCACCTTTTCACCTTTTCACCTTTTCACCTTTTCACCTTATCACCTTTTCACCTTCTCACCTTCTCACCTTCTCACCTTCTCACCTTCTCACCTTCTCACCTTCTCACCTTCTCACCTTCTCACCTTCTCACCTTCTCACCTTCTCACCTTCTCACCTTCTCACCTTCTCACCTTCTCACCTTCTCACCTTTTCACCTTTTCACCTTTTCACCTTCTCACCTTCTCACCTTTTCACCTTCTCACCTTTTCACCTTTTCACCTTCTCACCTTTTCACCTTCTCACCTTCTCACCTTCTCACCTTTTCACCTTTTCACCTTTTCACCTTTTAGCCTCCAATGAGCCAAAGTCTCTCGTCACGCACGACGTTTTCGCAACAGTCAGCGATTATTGATGGGTCTTGACTCAGCTGCCAATCTGATGCAATGGGGTGGCTGGCTGGTAACCTAACCACCATATGCCCCATCGCGGTTCTCCCCCTCCTCGGACAGCTCTTCACTCATCATCCATGCCTGTAAGTAGTTCGGCTTTGAGACGTCTCAAAACTGAGCTACTAATGCATCCATGTGTTGGCGGCACGCTGCTCGAATCCGTGCCATAACAGGCTCATTGGCGAGTCAAGCGAAGCCTTAAGAATATGAAAGTCAACCTTGTTCTATTTTGGGTACAAGGGTGATTGTTTGAGGCCTTGCCGACTCGAGTTGGCTCGTCTCGAGCCGGCCGGCAAGCCGAACCAGGAGGCTTGGCTTGTCAAATAATCCAGGCGAGCCGGACAAGCGGAACTGCGGCTCAGTTCATTGCTTCTGGTTTAAAGCCCGAATCTCATATTTCAGGCTGCGTTTCAAGTCTAAAAGCTTTGGAACAGGGTTACGAGCTGGGCGACAGACAGTTTCGAAGGTTGGGTTGCGTTTGGTTTGGGAGGGGTTTTGCTGTGCGTTGATTGGCTGTAAAAGCCAGCCTCGTCAAATTTTGAAGGGGGCAACAACCAAACTGAGGTTTGGTGTGCGATGCTCCCCACGTACAACCAAACGTAACTGTGAAATCGCAGGGTCGCAGATGCAGGGGCAAACCAAGTCTAAAAGGTTTCTGAATTGTGAGAATTCAATGCAACCACAGGGGAAACCCAAGTTTCTGTGACGCAAAAACTGGGCGACGAAACCCAACCTCCCCTCACATCTGTTTGTGCGACTCTGCCAGAACCGATTTCTGGTACGGCAAACTCGTACGAAATTCGCGAGATCGTCACCCCTCGCCTCAATCCACCTAAAATATTGTCCCTGGTCGACCAATCAGGCCTTTGGGTTCTCGTTCAACGCTAAAATGTTTGGAAATATGACATGGGGGCTTTGAATTAGTTTTCTTAGTAGGGCCAAAGTGTGAGCTTTTAAAGAATCCCCCCCTCCCCTCCTTCCCCTCCCTCTAAGAATGCCTATTTTCTACCCCCACATCCTGCTTTTGGCCTGGAACCTCTGTTCCTTGTATCCCCTCAGGTTTGGATGCTGCTGGCATCGCCGCTGCTGAATCCCAAGTCTTGGTCCTCTCCGGACCTCACATCTGGGCTCGGGCTGGCTGTGGCTTGGCCGAAGCAAGGCCAGTGGGAGAGGATGGTGGTGGCGGCAGCGTCGGCGGGGGTGGCGGTGGCGGTGGTGGTGGTGCTGGTAGTGATGGCGCTGGTGATGGTGGTTTGTTATATTTGGAGGGGAGGGGAAAGGGAGGAGGAGAAGGCAATGGCATGCGTGGTCGAGGCTTTGAGAGGGGCGGTGGACAAGAGGAGGGAATGTTGGAAGGTAGAAAGGTGGGCGGAGTCAAGCGGGTTCGGAAGGGGGAGGCGGAGCAGATGAATGAGGAAAGGCATGTTAAGGTGAAAAGTGAATGCGCTAATATGGGGGATAAAGGCGTGGGATTGGCGACTGGTGAGTCGGCTCAGAAGTCGAAGATGGAGTTAGGGATGGAGAAGAGGGGTCAGGAGAGAGAGGAGAAAGATAAGGGGAAGGAGAAGGAGAAGGGGAAGGAGAAAGAGAAGGGGAGGGAGAAAGAGGAGAGGGAGAAGGAGAAGGAGAAGGATGGGGAGAAGAGGAAGGAGAAGGAGAAGGAGAAAGATAAGGGGAGGGAGAGAGAGGAGAGGGAGAAGGAGAAGGAGAGGGACAAGGGGAAGGAAAAGGAGAGGGAGTTGCAAAGGGATGGGAGGGAAGGTCTTGGAGAAGTGAGAGGGGAGAAGGACGCAAGGCGAGAGAGGAAGGGGGGGAAAGATGAAAAGGATGCGAAGAAGGTGGATGGGAAGGAAGGGGGAGGCAAACGAGAGAATAATGATCGGATGTCAAGTAGAGAGGGGAAGCACAGCACGGGAGAAAGGTCCCCTTTGGGTGGGAGAGGTGATGGAGGAGGTGGGGTTGAGAGAGGAGGCAGGGAGGGGAGAGATGGGAAGGATGGGAGGGAGAAGGATGGGAAGGATGGGAGGGAGAAGGATGGGAAGGATGGGAATGATGGGAGAGATGGGAGGGATGGTAGGGGTGGGAGGGAGAAAGATGCGAAGGAGGGGAGAAGCCACAGGGAGGCTAGGGCCGCAGCAGAGCGGGAGAGGCAGAGGGAGGGGATGAGAAAGGAAGAGTGGGCGGAACTGCAGCGGCAAAGAGGGGAAGCTTTTGAGTCGAGTCAACGGCAGAACGAGCGGATGAGGATGGAGGAATCAGCGAAATTGCGTCTCCGCAGAGAGGACGCACTGAGGCGTGAGGGAGAGTGGAGAAGAGAGGAGGAGCGAAGGAGGGAGGGAGAGTGGAGGAGGGAGGAGGAGAGGCATTTGCATGGAGGAGAGAGGGGCAGGCACGAGCAGGGGGGGTATTCCCAACCAAGTTATGATGATGGGCTCGAAAGGGGCGTGCATGATGCAAGGGGCGTGCATGATGCCAGGGGCCGTGAAAGAGGCTTTGAGGGGGGTGCAGGTAGGAGGCTGGACAGAGGCGCTGACAGGGGCGCTGATAGGAGCGCTGATAGGGGCGCTGATAGGGGCGCTGATAGGGGCGCTGATAGGGGCGCTGATAGGGGCGCTGATAGGGGCGCTGATAGGGGCGCTGATAGGGGCGCTGATAGGGGCGCTGATAGGGGCGCTGAGAGGAGTCAGTACGATAGCAGAAATCCTGAGATCCGAATCTACATGCTGGGGAGGGATATGGATGTGGGGGGAGGAAGGGAGGGGGGGTATGAGGAGCGAGAGGGTGCGAGGAGAGGAGAGGAGATGTGGGGTGCGATGGGCGAGAGAGATTACACATTGAGGGAAGAGAGGAAGTACAGGGAGAGGAACGAAAGGGTTTACAGAGAGAGGGTTGAGATGGAGGAGGGCAGGCTTGCAGCCGAAGCAGGAGCAGCAGCAGCAGGAGGAGGAGGAGGCGAAAGAGGAGTTGAATCCGGCGCGCCAGCACCCCACTCTCAGCCATTCCTCAGCCCTCCGATGCAGTCGCTTCCCCCACATGCCCTCCCTCCCACTTCCCCTCTCACTCCCCCTCCCCCTCCCCCTTCCCCTCTCCCCCCTCCTCCGCCATTTCCCGTCATTCTCGACTTGACCCAAGGGCCGCACCCTCCCATGTTCATCAACTCGCAATCAGCGCCCATCCCCATCTCGTTTGGCCGCCCCTTAGGCCACATCATGCAGGGGAGCGCGCTGCCAGCTGTTCCTCCTGAGTTCGGGCCGGACGAAGATGGCGGCTCGAGGCAGGAGGTGAGTGTTGGCTGGCGGCTTCAGTGCAGGTGGGGTTAGTACGGTTGGGGTTAGTACGGTTGGCCCGCCATCCCGCATGAGTCTGGCACTTAGACGAAGAATACGTTATAAGGCAGCAGGAGGTGAGTGCACGGGTCAGGGTGGGCAATGGGTGTGCCGTTGGCCCTTCCTCTTTCCATTCCTCCTTCTGGACTTGGTTTGACCCACAAGGGAAGGAGTGGGCAATGGGTGTGCCGTTGACCATTCCTGTTTCTGGGTTCGTTTTGGCCCACAAGAGAGGGCTTTCTGCTGCTGCTGCTGCGAGAAGCCACACAGGGGCTCCTTTTGAGGCTTCTCAAAAACAGGGTGGGCAATGGGTGTGCCGTTGACCCTTCCTCTTTTTGGGTTTGGTTCGTTTTGGCCCACAAAAGTGGGCTTTCTGCCACCACTGCAGGTGATTTTTGAGATTTCTCAAGAATCATCTACGGCACGGTGGGCATGGGCGTGCCGTTGGCCGTTCCTCGTTCTGGGTTGGGTTGGGTTTGGTTTGGCTTGGCTTTCTGCCCCGCTGCTGCCAGCACACACACACACACACACACACACACACACACACACACGGGGGCTCCTCCAGTGGCTCTTCTACGGCTCAAAATGCCGCTAACTTCAAGGAGGCATCCGGAGGCATCCACGCACGCACCAGGGGAAGCAAAAGGGAATGCAAGGCGAAAGGTGGGAAAAAGGCTGTAACCGGCCAGAAAGGCAGGAGGAGGTGAGCGCACGGCCAATGGTGAGCAGGCGGAAATTATCTGTCTTTTTATCGTACTTTTTGGATGGCCCGAAACGAGAAATGCACTGGCGAAGTGAGAATGCTAGCAGTTGGCTGCTGATTTGGATAAGTTGAGAGATGATGCAGTGCTGATTGTGCTCAGTAGCTGAAGCCTGAAAGCATCATGTGCGTGCAACTCATGCCTCCAGCTACTGATTCTGACTGAGAACACGTCGGTTGTGGTGGGATCAACACCTCGCACAATCGAGCATGGACAACAGTGCAGGATCAGCAGCCTTTTTGTAGCGACTTTTGAGCGAGGTGCAATTTTGATGCGGCTTTAAGTCGACTCCTAAGCCACGCCTGCGAGTTCGACGCTGAGTGGCGCACATCCCCTCTCACCTAGTGATGCTGTCGAGTCGACTCAAAAGCTGGCTCACATCCCCTCTCACCAAGCGGCGGGAAAAACCGTGCCAGACGCCAGAAGCCAGCGATTGAAATTCTTGTAAAACAACTCCGCTCGAAAGCCACATCTGCGACTTTGATGTTGTGTCATGGAAAAGGTGTCATGGAAAAGGTGTCATGGAAATTTTTATGCGAGCCACCAGAAGCCACTTTGCTTAAGTGGCTGGGGCTCTTAATCAGAGTGGCTGGGCTCTTAATCAATGTGGCTGGGCTCTTAATCAATGTGGCTGGGCTCTTTGATTAAGCACTTAGCCACTTCTTTTACGAGCCCAGCCCCTTTGGTTGAGAGCCCCAGCCACTTTGGTTAAGAGCCCCAGCCACTACGGGCGCTGATTTGATGTTCTCTAGGTGCTTCCCTCAACCATGCCTGCTTATCGTCCCCCCCTGAGCTGATGTTTTCTGTCCCCCATCCGCCCTTCACCTTTGTTAAATCCACCACAGCAATTCTCTCAGCAGGGTTTGCACCCTAACATGGGACCTGCTGTACTTGTTAGTGGCTCAGGCCGCATCCTTAGAGGAGCAGATGACGTGGAGAATTTCCTACGCAACGCAGAGAGGCTGGAGGCAGGAGCAAACGCAGCAGCAACAGCAGCAGCAGAAGGGGGGCCTGAAACAGCCAGCAATGTGTTCTCACCAGCCCCGGCCATGTTAAGGCCGCAGTCAGCAGCAGGCGCACCACCTCAGGGGGTTGCAGCGAGGGAAGATCTGAGCAGCTTTCTTCGAAACGCAGAGAGGCTTGAAGCACAGTTCTCATCGCCTGCACCTCATGCCATCATGCGTGGAGATACACGTGGAGGCATGCATGGTGACACGGATGGGGAGATGCTTGGAGACATGCATGGGGAGCTGTTTGGGGGGATGCATGGGACCACACGTGGGGACATGCGCAGTGACATCGGGCGGAGCATGGGTGGCCTACAAGGGGAGCTTCAAGACAACATAAGGAGCGCTTCCATGGGGCCAACGGGGCCGGTGATCCGCATGCGAATTCTGCCTTTCAACCCTCATGGCCCCCCGCCACCGCTTGGGACTCTCCGTGGGCGCATTCCTCCGGGCTTTGACGACGGACCGCCGTTTCCGGAGCAGCATTTCGGGGCGAGACTGCCTCATATGCAGCAGCAGCATCTGCAGCAGCAACAGCCGATGGAGCCTCATACGAACATTGCGCCCGTGACTATGCGAATGGTTGGCGAGCACCGCGTGATGGTCGTCGCGGATTCGCTTGCACCCCCTACTGTGGACTCCATGGGGCCGCCTCCGCCTCCGAACATGCTGCCTGAAATGCAGGGGGGCAGGCCTACATTCTTCTCTCAGCAGCAGCAGATGTTGCCACAGCACATGGGAGATGGTGTCCGGATGAATGAATTGCACACTCAGAGGTTTCTAGGGCCCCAAGTGTTCGACGGCCCACCTAACGCTCGACTTCCGCATAATGAAATGTTTCATCCCCAGGGCGTTAGAGGAGAATTCTTTCATCTTCAACGAGGACCACAAGGCCCTCCACCACATGCCCCCCCGTTTGACCCGCTACCGTTTCGCAATCAATACGGGCCCAGGGGCCCTTACCGTGGCTTCCCCGTGAGTGATCGAGGGGGGATGGAGGAACCCCCGCCGTTTGTTATTCGAGGTCCGCTTGAAGATGCGGGTGGGCCGAATACTGGGGGCTGGCTGGATGAGTAATGCAGTTGGTCGTCTTCGAAGTGAGATGTTATTTGTGAAACACACAGGTGATTGTTGCTCCGTGCGTAAAGTTTCAAACCGTCTTTGACATTAAGGAAGCTTAGCGTTTTCTTTCGGAAGAGAAAGCCTGACAGGTGAGACTACCTTAATATGGCGGTTTTCTTGGTTGCGGGTGCTTGTTCAATACCTTGTTTTTAACTAGGAGTAAAGTTCAAAGTTCTATTATTTGAAGGAAATGGTGTTGCAAACATAATCGCCAGAAAATGGTTAATCAGTGCTCTTTCAAGTTATCAAGGAAAGGCGGTGATGGGCGAAAGCTGCGGGCCGTGGACCTTTCGTTTGAGTGCTCGAATGTACGATGAGTGAATCTGGCCTCGCGAATTTGCTGTGTCAAGGTTACGGACATTCCCATTGTTCGGCCCTTCACTCGGGCGACTGAAGAGCCCTTCAGCGAGCGTGAGTGGCGCTGCTGGCCGAGGAGCCTTACCGTACCAGATTCCGCCGCATCGCACGGGAACGATAAAACTTGCCCTAAACCGGTCTGCAACGGACCCGTAGGGGCAAACCAAAGCCGAATCAGCCACATGCACGCAGGGGCCTTGCTCTTGCCTTGGCTAGTCAATCGTGGCTCTTCCGTGTCTTGGAGGACTGCTCGAGTCTCACCATCGCGTCGCAGTCGTGCGTTACTACTTGCCGCTCACTCGGAAAAGTCAAGCGTCGCGCGACTTCCTTCGCCTAGAATAAAAGCAATGATGCGTCTAGTGTTTTTTTTCCTGAATGCTCCTAGTGAGACTCCACTGCATGTGTGATGGTCCTTTTCAAAGCACCGCTCGGCTCTCACTCGCCATCGTGTCGCAATCATGTCGCGTGGGGTTCTACTCGCATTATAGGGTTTCCGGGAACCAATTAAACGTGAAGCTCTGAGTTTTTTCGGAGGAACGACCAGAATGGCTAAATCGGATTCGACGCCAAGGCCATTCCGATGCTGCGCTCGCCATCTGATTGGGTGGATCGCGATTATACGAGGTGCGCCTCGGAGCTTTCTGAGTCCGAGCCCGGTTTTTTCGCGTTCGGCATCTTCACGGAATCCGACCCGCCCGCCACTCCCGCGCCACCAGCAGCCTTCAAGGAGCTATCCGGATAGACGCGCCGAATAGACTCCAGTCAAGTTGACGGCGCGCCTATCCGGTGGGGGAAAGGTGCGACATTCACGAGCTCCCAACGTGACTATAAACATCATACTCCGAATGAGGGTGGTTCTACTCCGAGTAGATACTCATCCAGCGGTACTAATCCGCCTTCCACTCTTCCATAGTTCCAGCAACCACCCCGGCGTGCTTCCTCTTGCCATCCGAGCTTGCGGATCTTTTCATCAATCCGAGCTTCCGAGAGCCATGGCCTTCACTCCGACTAGCCGCGTCTTACTCTTAGGTAAGCCTTACCCCCGCTGCCGCCATTCGAGTACCGCTTTCGTTGCATCACCACATCCTACATCACACATCCGCCGAATTCGTTGCATTCCCGATCTTGATGGTAACCTGTTCGCTGATCGCCTGTTTCCATCGCACGTGATTTCGTGCAGCGCTCTTCGCGGCGCTGGTGGCGGTCGCCTATTCCCAGGAACCTGGTCAGTGCGTCGGGCTTCCCTTTTCAGGCTGTCTTTTCTACCTCACTCCTCACCCGGGTGCCGCCTGTCGCTGTTGCTGTCTTTTCTACCTCATCTCTTTTCAGATCCCCACTCTCACCATGTTCGCCTCAAAATCCCTCTCTGCCTCCCCACCCCCCCCCCTCCCCTTCCCTTCTCCCTCCCCCTCCTCTCCCCACTTGTTCTTACCGCTTCAACAGATACCTTCACTGCTAAGCTGAATGGAGCTAACGAGGTGTATAAGAATGACGATGGAAATTTTATGCTAGTTGTGGGCAACAAAAGCGGCAAGGTGGTCGTGAAACTGGAAATCCACAAGGAAGTCCGTTGGGGTTTGTGCCGTCAGGAGCGGAGGAGGGAGGATGTGAGCATAGGGCAGGAGGGGTAGAGAGAGGGGGAGGGGTGCAGAAGGGCTTGCACAAGGCGGAGAGGGGCTTGCGCAACACGGAGAGGGGCTTGCGTGGAGGAGAGAGGGGCGGGCACGAGCAGAGAGGGCATGTGCCGCAATGCTATGATGAAAGTAAGTTGGGGTTTTTTAGAATTCTCCAAAACCAACTTACCTCAGAGAGGGCATGAGAGCGGCAGGGCTATGTTGATGACGGGCTCGAAAGGGGCGTGCATGATGCAAGGGGCCGCGAAAGTGGCTCTGAGAGGGGTGCAGTTAGGAGGCTGGACAGAGGCCCTGATAGGAATGCTGATAGGGGCGTGGAGAGAGGAGTTAAAGCCCGACCGGTAGGTTGCAGATTTTCACTGTTGAGGTAGGTGGGGCGGCAGAATGTGATTGGCTGACGAGAAATTGGAGTGGCGAAATACTGTTTAAGAAAATGGCCTCTCGCCTAATTTTCAGCTTGAACTTGGCAAGAGCTCCAAGTTTCGTGCCTCTCTTTTGGCAGGGGGCCACCTAGGCAGCAGCGCCAAGTTTCCGCTCCCCCATTTTGGTTTTTTTTTCCAACACGCGAACAACCGTGTTTGGCCCTCGTCATATTTTGTGCAAGATTGCGCAAATTTCACAGGGCATTGTGTTTTTCCGATTTGTGGCTATCGCTCTGCCAAGTTTGTCTCGGCAGCAGCTGTGTCAAATCAGCCCCCCTTTCCCTGTCATTCTGGGCTTAACCCAAGGGCCGCGCCCCCCAGTATTCATCAACTCGCAATCAGCCCCCATCCCCATTGCGTTTGCGTTTGCATTAGCCCATCATCACATCATGCAGGGGAGTGTGCTGCCTGCTCTTCCTCCTGGGTGCGGGCTGTGTTAAATTATATATATATATATAATTGTAGGCTTGGTAGGTGTTACTGGATCCTACTGTAGAGGGTACAACCCCCTTCTTGTATCCCTCTCTCTTCTAGTCCATTCCTCTTTTCTCTCAACATTTTCTCCTATCCTAAAACCTCACGCCACTTCCATGGTTTCCATCCTATCCTAGCTTGTTCAACAGGCTGGGCGAAGATGGTGTGACAAGGCAGCAGGAGGTGAGTGTGGGTGAAGGGTGGGCAGGTGGTTGAAGGGAGGGCAGGTGGGTGAAGGGTGGGCAGGAGGATGAAGGGTGGGCAGGAGGGTGAAGGGTGGACAGGAGGGTGAAGGGTGGGCAGGAGGGTGAAGGGTGGACAGGAGGGTGAAGGGTGGACAGGAGGGTGAAGGGTGGGCAGGAGGGTGAAGGGTGGGCAGGAGGGTGAAGGGTGGACAGGAGGGTGAAGGGTGGGCAGGAGGGTGAAGGGTGGACAGGAGGGTGAAGGGTGGACAGGAGGGTGAAGGGTGGGCAGGAGGGTGAAGGTTGGGCAGGAGGGTGAAGGGTGGGCAGGAGGGTGAAGGGTGGACAGGAGGGTGAAGGGTGGACAGGAGGGTGAAGGGTGGGCAGGAGGGTGAAGGGTGGGCAGGAGGGTGAAGGGTGGGCAGGAGGGTGAAGGGTGGGCAGGAGGGTGAAGGGTGGGCAGGCGGATGAAGGGTGGGCAGGAGGGTGAAGGGTGGGCAGGAGGGTGAAGGGTGGGCAGGAGGGTGAAGGGTGGGCTTGGACGACAACATCGTGAAGGGAGCAGGAGTTGAGTTCAGGCCTGAGTGTCGGTTTGTGCTGTCAGGGCGTGTCCCAAGCGTACGTCTGATTGCGGTTGACGTACGCTTTTGACACGGTACATTTGAGTGAGGGGCTCCTGCTGCCCGCCATTTCGATGGCATCGGATCGGACTGGACAAGGTCAGTGCTATGAGGCAGGATGAATCTATTTTTTAGGCGCCTCAAAAGAAGACTGGACGAAATTGGTGCGATGAGGCAGCAGGAGGCGAGTGCACAGCTGGCGACTCAGGGTTGGCAGGTGAGCAAAGCGCTGCTTTCAACCGGTTCACTTGGGGCCTCCTCCAGGGAAGAAGAAGGTGCTACGAGGCAGCAGCAGAGGGGAGTGATTGCAGGGCGCAGGGTGGGCAGGTGGACAATGGGTGTGCTGCCCATCCTTCTCCTTCGCGTCGATGTCTCCGTTGACCATTCCTCTTCCTGGTTTTGGGCCAGAGGAAGGCTTCCTGCCACCGCCGCTGCCGCTGCTACTAAGAGGGCATCCTCGTGTGGGGGATTCTCCAGGGGAAGAAGCAGGAAGTGCGGGGTAGCAGGAGGTGGGGCGCAGGGTGGGAAGGTGGACAATGGGTGTGCCTTTGACCATTCCTCTTGGGTTTAGGCCAGAGGAAGTCTTCCTGCCAACGCCGCCCCCACTACCAAGGGGCAATTTCACACACAAGGGCTCCTTAGGGGCTTTGAGACTCTCAATTCGCCGCATGTCGGCGCGCTTTTGCCTTGCGGCGCCTGCTGGATGCTCGCTTTGGGCTTCTGAGAAGTTTTCCGAATGTGTTTGTAGCGGCAGCCAACATGACTGCCTTGTGTGACGCTGACACGGCTACCCTCGTTTCTGATCTCGGTGTAATAGAGCATGCCATGAGATCAATAATGGGTTTCACATTGCTGATTCTGATCTCACTTTGTAGGAATCCGCCCCAAGCCTCCGCAGTATTGTACTGTACGATGGTTCAATAGATACCAAAATTGGCTGAGTCACACATCGAATGTGTACAGAATATTTGGTGGTGACCATCAAGACGAATATTACATCGTCGAGGAATTTGCTTATCCCAATCATTTAAAGCGAGCGACTACAATAACTTCAAGGTTCAAAGTGTCAAACACATTTGTGTGTGATGTTGTAGACCATATAGGGTTGTGCCTTTGAGAGTACAGCCTCCTAAGTTATAATGCCTTGTACTCTCACATTCTAGTCAGTCTTTCAGTTTGTCATGGTCTCAGAGCGTGCGTGCATGCAGTGTGCCGTCGCGAGGTAGTTCGGGTGACGGGCGCTGCCAGTACCAGCTCCAGACCGGTCCTCGCTGCGGCTCCGTGTGCGGTAAGATCGGTCACACCCCCGCTTGCTGCTTTCGTCGCCTGGACGACCTGTTTCGTCTTCGCTTCGGCCCGTTGCCCGACCTTCCCGACTGGCACAGCTTGCTTCGCCGTAGTGTTCAGATCTTTGATATGGACATGGATCAGATTAGCTCTGCTTTGTATGTGCTGTATGTCGATGACTCTAGTGTGACTGGTTCCTACTACCCCTTGTTGCTAGTGTAGGTGTGCCTAGTCCGGCCTCCCCTGCTGTGTCAGGCGTAGGATCCCCTGCCTTGTTTAGTCTTGGCTCCTCCCTCGCTACTCCGACCCCGGCCGCCACTGCTGTGCTCTTCTTTACCCTGGACTCTGGCGCTTCTCGGTGTTTCTTTCGCGACTCCACTACGCTGACGCTGCTTGCCGCTCCCGCCGCAGTTTTCCTTGCCGACCCCTCCTCAGGCCCAGTAGTTGCCCGTAGCTCCACCACCCTTCCCTGTCCGGCGGTTCCTTCGGGCTCTCTTACAGGCCTACACATCCCCTCGTTCTCTAGGAACCTAGTTGGTGTCGGTTGCCTACATGACCTTGGTGTCACCACTACGTTTCCTGGTCACGAGCGGTACGCTGTCTGTCCGAGGCCGCCACTGGTGCTCCCCTCACCACGTTCCCCCGGGACCCGGTGTCTGGCCTGTTCACGATGGACACCGCACCCCCCCTGGTTGGCGTCTCCCCTGGTGGCTGCATCTACCCAGGTTGCTGCGGCCTGCTCGTGTCGGTCGCTTACTCACCCGTCGCTTCTGTGGCACCACCGTCTAGGTCACCCCGCGCTCCCGTGTCTGCGTCACATGTCTCAGCACGGTCTTGTCCTAGGTCTCCCAGAGTCGTTCACTGAGTTGCCCTCCTCCCCAGCGCTGCCGTGCACGCCCTTCGTCGAGGGTCGGCTCCGCCGTGCTCCTCACTCCTCCTCGTTCCCCCCCACCGCCGCACCGCTACAAACCCTGCACATGGACGTCTGGGGCCCTGCCTCCGTCCATGGGCCGCGTCGAGAGCGCTACTTCCTTGTGCTTGTCGACGACTACACGCGCTACACCACAGTTTTTCCCCTGGAGCGGAAGGCGGACGTGCCTGCCGCTCTTATCCCGTGGCTGGTCTCTGCGCGTGTGCACCGCGGTCTCCCTGTCTTGCGTCTTCACTCCAACTGTGCTGGCGAGTTTGCCTCCGGCGTCCTTGGTCGTTTCTGTCGTGCGGAGGGCATCACCCAGATGTTCACCCTGCCGGACTCCCCGCATTGGTTTTGTCATGGAGGTGGCTCATACCTCCATGATCCATGCCGGTGCACCCCATTTCCTGTGGTCGTTCGCCGTTCGCTACGCCGCTCACCAGCTTAACCGGTGGCCGCACCCCCAGCAGCCGCAGGTTTCGCCGACCCGTCTTTGGACCGGGTCCCCTGGTGACGCGTCTGTGTTCCACGTCTGGGGCTGCCTTGCTTACGTTCGTGCCGCCGCAGCATCAGTCGCCGTCGGTGTCAGCCCTTAGCCTGCTCGGCCTTCCGTCCCCTGACCGCGCGTCTGTGCCTCCTCCACCGTCTGCTCCCCTTCCTATCTACGGCCCCGTGTTCCCTCCTCCGGACTCGTCTCCAGCTCGTCTTCCCCCGCTTTCTCCTCCTGTGTCTCCTCCTTTGTCTCCTGACCCGGCACCTCCGTCTCACGTCTGGTCCCGCCGTCCCTCTCGTGCTCGTCCTGTCTCTCCTGTTCCGCGCTCACCCAATGTTGCTCCGTTCCCACGCGTCTCATCCTTACCTCCTGCTGTCGCCTCCTCCATCCTCCCTTGTCGTCGCGCCTCCCCCTCTGTCTAACTACCTTCGTGCAGCTCGTCCTCTTGTTCCTCAGGGCCTTGCCTCTTTCGTTACCGACCCGTCTGTTCCTGTTTCGTGTCTTGACGCTCTTGTCGCTGCGGTCGCTGACTTTGCCTCTACCCACCGCCTTGACTACGCCAATGCTCTGGTCTCTGACCTTAATCCTCCTCCGTCCGTCGAGGGTGCTCCTGCCCTCGGCACTGACGTACGAGCTTGCTTTCCTGTCCGAGGCTGCTCCCCATCTCTGTTCCATGCTGCTAGTCCCTGAGGGTGACCCAAACGCTTTCGACATCCCGACCCCTCGCACCTACGCTGAGGCCACCTCAGGACTCTGGGCCTCTCAGTGGATAGCTGCCATGGAGCAGGAGATGGCATCTTGGAGATCCACCAGCACCTACGTCGACGCAGTTCCCCCACCTGGGGTGAACGTAGTCGATGGCCGGTGGCTCTTCAAGATGAAGCGCCCCCCTGGAGAGCCGCATGTGTTCTAGACGCGCTATGTGGTTAGAGGCTTCAGTCAGCGTGAGGGGGTGGATTTCTTTCAGACCTTCGCCCCGACCCTGAAGATGACCACTCTTCGGGTGCTGCTATACGTAGCAGCACAGCGTGACTTCTCCACTGCGTTTCTTCAGGGCAGCCTACACGAGCAGGTCGACCTGCGCCGCCCTCAGGGCTTCACTGGTACCTTCCCTCCTAGGATCCAATGGCTACTGCGGCGCCCAGTCTACGGCTTGCGACAGGCGCCCCGTGAGTGGCACGTCACAGTGTGTGCGACCCTTGCCGACCTGCAGTTCTTTCCGTCCTCTGCAGACCCCTCGCTCTTCGTTCGTGCTGGCCAGACCACGTTCTACATCCTTGTTTACGTAAATGACCTGGTCTTCGCCACTGCAGACATGGACGCACTGGCCTCCGTGAAGGCAGAGCTGCTGAAGACGTGTACTACACGAGCCTGGCAACGCTGCTGCAGGTCGCGCAGGAGGAAGTACCGCAGCTAGATGTGCTTCGCTCTGCCCTCAAGTCGTGGCTCCTGACACAGGAGGATCATGGCCCTGTTGTCGAAGAGTAGCCCTGTGAGGACCAGAGAGTCTTGGCACCGTCTGCCCAAGAAACGCCTGTGTGCTCGGTAAGGACCACTGGTCTCCGTCCTCCTACACTAGCCCCATGCACGATGTAACACAAAACCCTCTTAGCTGCTGACCAGTGCTGTGGTTGGTGTTTGCCTGGGGCCACAAAGCAAGCCAGGATGCAGAGAGGGTATGCGAGAACTAGACGAGTGCAAGTCATCAGGTACATGAGGCAACCCACCAGCTTTGCGTAGGGACCACTAGGCTCTACAGCCTCCTCTGGGACTTGGTAAGAGAGTTTGTGGTCTACTGACAGAGGGGTGGGCTGTGTGGAAGAGAGCTGAAGGTCGAACCTCTGAACAACCTGGCGCACCAAGTGTGACTGTGAGAGAGTGATGGTGCGCGCTGCCCTGGAGATCTGCAAGCCAAGGTAGCGGCGCAGCTCTCCTAGGTCAGTGAAGGTGTGTCTCCTCAGCAGCTCGGCCTTCACGGCGGCCAGTGCGTCTCTGTCTGCAGTAACAAAGACCAAATCGTCTACGTAGACAAGGATGTAGAACGGAGTGTGGCCGGAATGGACAAAGAGCGAGGGGTCTGTAGACGAAGGGAAGAACTGCAAGTTGGCAAGTGTAGCACGCAGCGTGTCGTGCCACTCACGGGGCGCCTGTCGCAAACCGTAGACGGGGCGCCGGAGGAGCCACTCGGTGCCAGGGGGGAAGGTACCGAAGAAGCCCTGAGGGTGGTGTAGGTAGACCTGCTCATGTAGACTGCCCTGGAGGAAAGCTGTGGTAAAGTCTAGGGAGTGCAGCTCATAGTCACGCTGTGCTGCTACTTGTAGCAGCGCCCGAGAGTGGTCATCTTCGGGGTCGGGGCAAAGGTCTGAAAGAAGTCCACCCCCTCACGCTGACTGAAGCCTCGAGCGACGTAGCGTGCCTTGAAGACAAGCGGCTCTACAGGAGGGCGCTTCACCTTGAAGAGCCACCGGCCATTGACTACGTTCACCCCAGGTGAGGGAATTGTGTCGACGAAGGTACCGGTGGATCTCCAAGATGCCATCTCCTGCTCCAAGGCAGCTATCCACTGAGAGGCCCAGGGTCTCGAGGTGGCCTCAGCGTAGGTGCGAGGGGTCGGGATGTCAAGGGCGTCTGGGTCACCCTTAGGGACTAGTAGCATGGAACCTAGATGGGGAGCGGCCTCAAACAGGAAAGCGAGCTCGAACTGTCTGTCCTCTAGGACGTCACTACCAACATCAGCCACACCTCCGACGGTCGGAGGGCAGGCACGG